TCTGACTCTCAGAGTACATTGCAGAAATTTAATGAGAGAGATTATTATGACGCATTATGGGAGTATGATGTCTATAAATTAAAATGTCCACGAGGCACACAGTAACTCTTGTGGACATAAATTAAAGCTGAACTGCCCCTTCATGAAATGTTTTAATTCAGTTTGACAAACCAAAGTATTTCAATTTAAGTTGAGCTAATTCAAAACAAAGCATTTTATTTTTCCCAACAGGGAGTAAAAATCTCCAGCAGAAGTGCCACAGGGAAATTCAAAGCTCTTAAAGACTAAATTTCCATTCAGAAAAAGATATTCATGGGAAATATCTGACCCCCAATAATACATACTCCATATCCACATATTTATATAAATATATAGACAAATATATTATCACAAACAAAGAAATATAAGCCTGGACTGTTAAATATAGCTTAATGGGCTTAATATGCAGTTGGTGATATTTAAATTACAGTTTGTTGTATAATATCCAAGTAGGAAAAGGAAGTCATAGAGCATTTATTTCTAACATTTATTTCTAATGCCTATAGGGATGACTCTATATGTTGCAAGCTCATCTCAGTAGAGGGTTTTTTTTTCCCTAAGTTTCACGGGAAAGGGAGCTGAGAGGAAAAAGTGATGTGTTTCGTCTCAACCTTGATATGTTCACAGCACTGACAGGCCTTCTATTGCTTCATTACAATCCTGTAACACTAGCAATTGGGAAACATCTCATTACTTCTGCACAATTTTCTGACTTCCCATTTTAAAAGAGGAAATCTGTTTCCCTGAGGCAGAGCTCTGCTATTGCGTTGTGACAGAAAACCGTGTGTTTATGTATGGCTGGGAAAGGCCTACGTACACCTTTTGTATTACCACTGTTTAATTGGGAAAGATTTCACTTATTTTGGGCTCCCAGAAAACTTATTTCACAGTTTTTTTCGAGAGGATTTCTGTTTCCTGGAGACCAAAATTCTGTTTAGTCTCCAAAGAAGAGTCCTATCCCCAGGAATCCGTGCCATCAGAGGTAGAAAGGTGCTAATAACATCAAATTCAAACACCTCATAGTTTTTAATGAGGTTTCATCATGGCAGAAAGTATGAAATTAGGCTCTTGTTATTCTTATTTCAGAAACCATGAGTCATTGTAGGCTGTTTCAGACACAGAATAATGGCAAAGCAACTTTGGAAATTGACAGTAACTGTTCTTATAGCAACACGGTTTGCCACTCACAGCTGCAATGCCGTGTCAGAAGCACAGTGTTAACCTGGCCCATGACGCTGGAGATTCCACAGCCACGTCAGCTCTGCCAGCTGCGTCCTGCTTCCAGCAACAGCGAGGAGTCCTGTAGGAGGGGATATTTCTGGGATGCAGCTAAGCCACAGGGATTGCAAGCACCAAGGGTGCTACAAAACTGTGTAGACACACACAGGGAGAACCATGTCCATCATTCCCCTCTGCTCTCTGACCCCACCTGACTGTGATGGCACGTGGCTGTGTCATAACAGCTTGTGACCGTGAGCTGCTTCTTGATAAGAAAACTAGACCACTCATTTTCCATTCCTCATTTTCCTCACTGAGCTGTAGGGTCTGACTTGCCTGTCTGCCTCAACCATCTGGCTGGAGTTATCCTCATGACCTTTCCAGAGTCTCTGCTTTCCAGGATGTGTGCCTGCCTCCCCACGCTGGAGAGAGCTTTCCATTCTGTCCCGCTAGATATACGCCCTGGCATTTGCACTTATTCAAACCTAGTTTTTCTCAAAGGGTTCTGTTCTATCAGGTGATCAAGATTGAATCAATACTCTGAAAAATTGCCCTCTCCTCCCTATCCTTTACCACACCACCATCTTTGTCTTCCCCACAAACTGCATCAGCTGTAACTTTGTACTTCTCACAGCCCGCTGAAGTGACATGCTTGTCCCTGTTTGCCAACACTGCATGTCTGGTGTTTCCACACAAAAGTATCACTGCACAATAGGAGATGAATATAAACAGATTAACAGTTGACAAAAGAAGCTGGAAAACATTGCTTCTGGTAGAGGAATAGCAAAATACATTGTATAGTAGAACACTGGGCAGAAACACTCCAGGAGATATGGATATAGCTCCAGTCAAGAGTACTATCAGCTTTTATGTACTGCCCTACTATTGGGGCAACGAGGCCCTCTGTACCTTCCAGAGAGACACCAGCTTTCAGAGAGAGACAAGTCTGTGCAGTGCAGGTTGCCTTTTCTCTGTGTCTGGAGTCCTTGCTACATGACAGCATCAGCATCTGTAGCTGCAATTTTGAGCTAGAAATAGCATGAAACATTTTTTCCTTCCTCTGTGCCCACTATGCCATTCACGCCACCAATGTCCTGCTGCAGACCCATCCAGTCCTTATCCCATTTACCCTCCTCCTTCCCTATATTTATGCCAGACTTATTTTGAGCCTCTTTATGTGAGCCATTAATCATAGCATGGTTAGTCATTTAAAAATAAAAAGAATTACTGGTCTATGGACGTGACAAGTCATTTCCAGCTACTGAACAACTTGGCAAGCGATTTTTTTTCTCTTTGGTTGAAAATATTCTAGACACACCAGGGAGGTTTTTTTATCTGTGTGTTTGTATAAAGAGAACATGTAAATGTGTCAGAGGGGGTGAGATGGGAAACAGCCAACTCCTGAGCAGTTGCTAAAAGATGACACTTTGTGAACTATGTTGATAACCCTCTGTGGGAGGAATAGCAAAAACTTAATTAGTACTGATATGTATTAGGAGAAGTCTTATTTTTAGAGTTCTGAAAGGAGCCTGCAGGAACTTCTTGTTTTAACTTCTTGTACAGAAGTACAATGCCTTGACTGCACAGGAAGGTGAGAAGCTTCGCAGGGAATAAGATGACCGAGAGTTTACTGTCACTTAGCTTTGTTCAGTCCATACAAAAGGCCTGCTGACTTCTAGGAAGGACAAAAATCAGGCTTGTAATTTCTGGGATCTAAACTAAAATGAAGAAATAAATAGTTTTGACATATGGAAAAGGACCTTAACTATGAGGTGTCCCAGATTAGTTTGCTGCCTGCTCCTTGACTAATCTAGGAAAAGTCATTGAACCTTTTTGTACTTCACCTCTGTCCTGGCAAATAGCAATAGCAGGAACATTTGAGACACAGATAGCTTTTCCCCCTTGTCCATATTTTTTGCTTTTAAGAAATGTTGTGCTTTTTGCACTAGGACATGCCTAAAACCTTTAAAAACTTTCTACAGAAGGACAGAGACGTTTTATGAAATCCCTGGTGAAAACATGCTAGGATAATTCACTCAGCATGTGAGGGTCTCAAAATTAATTCAAAAGTGTAACTCAGACACATGAATCTAACTCTTCTCCTATAAACATTAATACCGTAGTTGTCAAACCCTTCTAGGTCAGGCCAGCCTCATCCCAGAGTGGAAAAGACCCTTCTTTCAGATAAAGACTTTTTCATTAAAAGTAGCTCTGGCCCAGCAAAAGATTGTAGTTTCTTGAGAAGAAGCTCTTCTATTCAAATAGTCTTCCCTATTACAGATAACATTTTGCAGCTTTCACTCTGGACCAGTCTCATCTAGTAGCTGGGCTTTTCCATGACGCTTCAGTTGAAGTGAATGGAAAACATACTGTAAATTCTTTGCTGTCAGTGTAATTTAGATACTGCACTTATCTGAGGTGACCTCACTCTTGTGGGAAGTCCCTTGGTTTTACCGCAGAACATAAGATAAAGAATAAATTAGTAATAACAAAACTGAACAGTGAAAGACACTTGCTGAGAGCCCTATGGGAGCACTGCTGTGGATGCCTCTTCCACTGTGTGCAAAGTCAGAGACAACATAACTGAACAGGAAAATACGGTGAGAAAATCTTTGTATAGCATCATAGAAAGAAGACTAAAAATAATCCAAATTTTGTTTTCCACTTATTTAATAAATCATCTTTCTAAGGAGAACAGACACTTTGCAACCTCACAGCCGTATTTTTAGGAGGTGGTAATAATTTGCAAGAATGGTCCGAGCTGGAAGAGAAGTAATTGATCTGAAGGGCCACAACAGATTGGTGCTGACTGATTTAAACTGCAACACGGTTAGCTGAGATTAAATAGCAGGGAACTTTATAAAAAGTCAACTGAGCAAGAGAAAATGCTTTTCTTCACACCTTCACAGGAGGTGTGAAGGATTCAAAGAGCTTGGGGCACATCAGGTTAAGTCTTGTGATCTATTCTGACATAGGGTTTCTTGGGCGTCAGTACAGGGGATGTTTGCAGCCCTGATGGATACTAAGGACATGTCCAGGCTTCTCTCAGTGATGCTCTAACTCTACCTATGCAGTATGGATGCAGTGTTATAACACCATGGAAAAACAGCCTGTGACACACAGGTGTCTGAGGATCTGCCTCACTGATTGGAGCCACTGATGTTGGTGTGGTCCAGATGATTGTCAGCCATAGGAAGAGTTGAGCAAATGTCCCAGGTGCAGCCAGCCAGTGTCCATCCTGTATGGACAAGACAAGCAACAGCTTTGCTGTTACCTTCAGGAGGCTCCACCCCATCACCACCCTGTACAGATCCACATAGATACTTGTTCTGGGCTGGGATTCCTAACTCTTCAGCAAAACCACTTCAGTAATTCTGATGAAAAGCTGTCCTGCATGACACTTCTGTGTTGGGTGTCCTGTTCCCTGGAGCTTTGGTAGCTCCAAACAGTGCTTGTCATAACATCTTCCATGTTTCCATTATGGTTTGAAAGATAAATGAAGGGAAAACCAGCCATGCCCAGGAAAAGGAGTTTTGAATATAAGTGAAATATAAATATCAGTGTACTGTACTGTCACAAGAAACACTGCTCTGAGCCACATATATCTGTCCCCTTTCTGAATTTTAAGATGCCCCCTTAGCCCAGCTGGCAGCATTATGATTCAATAACTGCCACTCGCTGTCAGACACTTACTGTCCAAGGAAGGCTGCCGAAGAAGCCAGCAATTCCAATGAGCAACAGAGTTTTCTTGTGTGACAGGAATCGTTTATTCAAGCCTGTTTCTAAGATGGGGAGGATGCTAAAGACAAATTTGACTTTAGTGCTAAAAATATCCAGCTTTATTAAAAATTTTTGCCAGGGCAGGAGCAATATTTTACAGCCTGTGAAGTCATTCCTCCTGGATCATTTCAACAGTGGGAATTTTCTTCCATGTGCCTTCATGCTGTACACACTGTAGGGAGAAGGAAGTTATCAGAGATTAGGGCATATTGAAAAAGGCATAAGAAAATATGTGCACATCTCCTCTTTCTCTCCTTATAGTTAGTTCTGTGCAAATGCTGCCTCCTAGAGATTCTCGACCTCTCCCAAGTTTCATGGCTATCTCCATGTGAGAAACTGAATGGCCACTGCAGCTGCTACCTCCTCCTTCTTCATTTTCACTTCCAGTTTGTACTCAGTGGTGGGATGAACAGCAGTGAATACCAGCATTCATCATCACAGCCATAGAAACTTATAATGAGATACAAGAGTGCTGTACTTTAGACACTCCGTTTCTCCTCCTGCAAACAAGCCTGCCAAACCAAAGGGCCAGGTTGTTTTGAGAAGAATGAAGGGATGCAGCTTCTCATTTGCTGGCAGTGGTTGAAGTGGTATTTCTGTTTGCTTAGCTGGTCCCTCAGAAGACCATTTCCAGGCACACTGCATTCAGGGGTTTCCTGCTACATAGTGATGGGAAGAAGACAGGTTAGAATAGGTGAGTCCATCTGCTTAATTGGATCCTGCAGAAGGACAGTAGAGAAATTCACTTACATAAAACAAGAGCAAACTGCTGCTCTCAGACAATTATTAAGCATGCTTGGAGACACAGTCTAAGCTCATGCATAGCAGACAGTTGCCACTTGGATTTCTGAGAACCCACTCTGTTGTGGCGAGCAAAGGCCATGATTAGTGCTAACCGTACCATGAAGTGGTTACAAGCAGAATTAAAACATGTCATATGCATAGCCACTACTGTGATTGCTATGGGTTTTGGGGAAGAGAGTGAGGAAAACATCAAATACAGCACAAGGGAATCCCTGAGAGACACAAAGGCTCAAGCATTTGTATCTCCCAGCTGGAAAGTTAAGTTGTTGAAAGGAGACTGTGGTTTTAAGGAAGCTCACTGGATAGATCTGTCAGGGTGATAAAAATAGTTTGTGTTTTTGTTCCATCTCCAGCAGCACCCATGTTATTCCCAGCATGGTCACAACTTGGGCCTCAGCCTCCATCTGCCTGCTTAGGGGAGATCATTTCATCGTGTCAGCTGTCTCAGAGTCATGGATGTGCACAGCACTACTAATCTGTTGCAGCAATTTTCCATGGCATCAGTCAAATTCAGCAATATTCCTTTACCTGCATCTATCTGAGTGACAGCCTCTGTCCTGTGTTCCACCTCAAATGCCTTTAAAGACCAATACAGTACCCGGTGGCGTTGCCTGGGGCTAACCTCAAAGGCAGTTGAATCGAATTGTTAGGGTAAGATTCAGCATGTCTAATTTCAGGGGTCTGCAAGGAAGCAGTTTATGACTCAGTGGGTTGCCCTGGGTCCTCTTGAAAGTCATAAAGAGAAGTAAACACTTTTAGGATCTGATCTGTTTCACTCATTTTAGATGTCTACATCACAATGAGGAAACTAGCAGTTGGTAAAGGGAGACTGTGCATCCAGACATCTAACTCAGAGGAAGATGTCTACATCTGTCAGCTGCATCCTACCCATTGTGACTAAAGGGAAAGAGTGCATCATACTTGCTTACATTCAAAATTTATGCCATCCAAAGCTTTCTGCCAAAACCAGCAAATCTCTTCACATGATGAGACAGTACTCAGTATTATGTGGTTTTCATTTACTCCTTGAAGCCTGAAGAAGTCAGAAACTGTAAGTGTAAGGAAGTCTGGAGTGCAATATTGACCTTATCACACAAGACCATTTTTGGTACATCAAAGCCCAACTTCCACTCACAGCTTCTGGTTGATAGTTCCAGGCCCTTAATTCACTCACTAACTTACAAACTTCATAAAAGTTCCATGTAATAACAATGGATAGAATAAGGGAAAAGAAAAAGCGCAGGCTTTGCTCAGAAACATGGTTTGAATTGTTCTTACTAAAGCATGGGCAAATGTTTTGCCAAAGCAAGGAAGAATAAGTCTACAGCTAGTGTTTAAAATACCCTAAGTGACTAAGCAGTACTTGACCCAGCAGGACTGCAGCTTGAGGTTACTGGCAGCTCATTGCCTAGAAACTGTTTAGGCACAAATATGAAGAATAATAAGTTATTTTCATTTCAAGGAGCAAAAGGATTTTATGTGTATTAGTTGAATTTATCAAAATTCTTTCATTTCTTACAGTATAAAGTGATATTTGTAACAATAATACATAGTATTTATAACACATTTCTGCTGTGAATTTTCCTAGAAGAAAAAACAAGGAAAATACATCCGTATTGAATTTGACAGGCAGGGATTTTTCCATCTTCCATAACTCCAGTTGTTTCACTTCCTCTTCATGAGAATGAAAAAGGCACAGAAGACTTAAAATTGACTAAAAACTCACATTGTCCAACAGTTTTGTGGAGTATCTCTAGATGCTAATACCTCTGAGCATCACTTCAGTGTTTAACAATTGCAGGATTTTGATGGTAACATGTAATTGTTGGTTCATTCTGGCTTGTGGCACTAGATCATTATGATCCTCTCTGCTCTAACTAATGGTGCCTTCTCGACATCCTGATTTTTTGCTGTTGTAGTTCTCATGCTACTAGTTGCTAAATATATGATATCTGCAATATTGTAAGCCCTGAAGAATCATAGAATATTTTCAGTTAGAAGGAACTCATAAGGATTATCGAGTCCAGCTCCCTTACAGACCACTAATTCATATAATGGGCTTGATTCTCTACCATCTCTTATCTGGAGGTGCTGCAGTGCCTTTGCAATGGAAAAGACCTGTAAATGACATAGTTCCCTAGGTTGGTTCTGTAGACGGTGCATGCTACTCTCTCACATGCACACACACATGGTTCACACTATGAAAGGGAAAGATAAGCAATCCACGTATGCTGCACACCAGCCGTTGATCTGATCATGTGGGAAAGAGCACTCCATGTGCCAATAAATTAGAGCCGACTTTAAATTTTGGGGGATGGTGATGATGTGACACTGCACTGGATGGAGCCTTGTAATCAGGAGAGCAGCACTAGGCTCCACAAGACACCCCAACCCCAGCCGTGAGAGATACCCACGCTCTGTTCCTGCTCTGCTCCGACTCCCCAGTGCAGCGCTGGTATGGCCAAGCTGACTCTGCCTGGTTTGCTGCTGGGGTGCTGAGCACACATAGTTCCAGGGCCACCACACCCTCCTTCAGCTCCAGACACAGCGAATGACATGCACCACTGAGTCAGCCACTCACTGTGGCCTTTAGCTTAAGGCCCACAAAATTAAAAGTCTCTCCACTGTGTTGACAGCTGGAATCGTTTTGGTTATGACTACCCTCCAGCATCACACTGCTTTTCTGACTATTCTGACTAGATGACACTAAACAAAACTCAGCTGAATGTTTCAGACTACAAACAGCTTTGTGAAACCAGAGTGTCTCTGACACACAGCCCTGGGTAACTGCCATCATTCATTCTCAAAAGCCAGCTTCAAACAGCACCATCTATGTTTGATACGCCCTTTCCAAACATCAGGATTTATTCTTGGGAGCACACAATACCCTGGGTCTGTACTAAAGAACTCATTGTTAGAGTTCACAGGTCTCAATAAATAAGTCCCAATCTTCAGCTTGCCATTTTAAAGGAAATATGGTCAATTATATAGATAAAACTAGGAAAAAATTGCCTCACACTTCATCTGCCTATGATTAAAAAACCATACCCTGCTCTGAGACTGGAGAAAGGGCAACATCCAGCCTGGCTGTTTTGGGAGCTCCTGGAAAGCAGACATGTCTTGAAACCTTAGCATAACACTGGGCATTGCACATCATTGCTGCAAGTGCTCCTCTATGCAGGGACAAGTGGCACAGCGACCCCTTCCCTACCAGCATGGATCCATGTGGAGCTTCATGACGAAGCTCTTTCCCCATCTTGTTCCTCTGTGGGAAGCAAGTGTGGAAGGTCTTGGTGTGCCACAGTCCAACATGCCTGCTGTCTGCAGCAAGCTCTACCCAGCATTTTTTTCCTGAACTACCTCTGGCATTATTCAGCTAGATCCCTGCATGGTGGAGACAAGTGTGTGGACATGAAGGAAAGGGCTGAAAATCAATAGCAGTAAAGTTTGCTTATGAGAGGAGTGCCATCGGCAAAAAAGGGAAAACACGCTAAAGACATAGGTGGCTGAGAGAACAGCGTGTTTTGCTGAAGAAAACTAAGCCTGTTTCAGGGTCTCAGTTCTAATTTTTAAGAAATTCTGTAATACCATTGGAAAAGGTATACAGTGAGAACTGCAGTCTGCTACTGCATCTCTGCGGCAGTGTCTGACTCTGAGGTCGAGTGAGCAAAAGCAGCTTACACTCTTGGTAGCAAGGTATGGATTTTGCAGAAAATGAGAATGAACCCACATGCAGTGACCTTCAGAGTGAAACTATTTTCTTTAGACTGTCTTGATGGAAGGATGGATGGAAGGAAGGAAGAAAGGAAGGAACAAAGGAAGGAAGGAAGAAAGGAAGGAAGGAAGGGGTAAAAAATGGGAGACTAATGATGTAGGAGAACTAAGTCAGAAAAGGGTGAAAGATTAATAATTTATAATTAAAATACAAGGAAAAAAGCCTGTAAGCATGATTACAGAACTATAGGAAAACGTACTGCTTTATGCAGAGTTCTGTATAAATGGATAAGTCTGATTAAAAGCTTAGGGAGAGAGAAAACCCCCTCCAGAAGGAAAAAAAATCAAAAGGATGTTTCTTTGCTCATTGGGAGTGTTATGCTGATTCTTCTTTCCCTCAACTATTCCGGAGACTTGCATTATGGTCATTACTCCTATTCATTTGTTCTCCTTTGCTTTGTAAACCAGGAGAATGACTTCAGGATAGAGACAAGAGGGCAACTTTGGGCCATCTGGAAATTTTGCCATCTCTAGTGAAGAAGGTTTAAATAGTGACAGAAGCTTTACAGCACAACACAGGCAGAGAAACAAGACACTCCATCTTGGGGAGATGACATTTGCCAACTTCTAGGCTTGTTATTGATATCCTATCAGATACAACCACACCGGATTATCCTGTCAGGAATGGTAACATGCAGCACAGAAGGTGCAAACAGTTATTTTAACTCACTGCAGGAACACGTGCACTCACACACTACACACTTTGAGGATGTTACCCTGCGGAAGGGACACCTATCAGCTAAAGATAGGCATAAAGCATTTGGAGCCTTCTCAACACATGCTCGCCCGGGTCATTTTTATATACAAACAAGCTACTTCTTGAAAGCAAGGACTGAAGCTCAGATGAGTATTTATTGAGCATACACTTAATCAAAATGCTGAGTTTGCTGCTGAAGCAACAGACTCATGAAAATAGAAGGAATAAAAGTCAAGAACTTTTGAGCTGAAATGTTTGAAAAGCAAAGACTCATGAAACCACAATAGCTCTGAGTAAATGTCTTGTCTGAATGCTAATTCGTGCCACTGAAAAAGTATATATAACACCAACTATAGCAAGAAGAAAAAACATGCACGCTTTAAACAAACTAAACCCCTCCAAAACCACCCTGAACCATATGCAGTGCTGGAATACAATTACTTGGGGTATATATTCCTAAGGAGCAGTTTTTATCAGCCAGTAGCTGGCTTACATTTTCTCAAATAAATAAACTGTATGTGTGTGACTTTCTATTGCTTCATGAAAACAAAGTTACGTAAAAGCTGGTTATTTGCAGCATAACCTTTCTGAAGAAGCCTCAGCTGATATCGGGTAATTATTTGCCACCCGAATCTAATACTTTCCACCCCGTGCCAAGTCATTTACATGGGATCTGCAGGGTGTGATGTGGATCAGAAATACCTTCACCATCCGTCAGTGCTGAAAATCACTGGAGCTGGATCCATCTGCCCGTGTTTACCCAGCAACCAGAGTCGCGTTGCTAATGCGAAGGTCGCCCCATGTGAACCCATCAATCAGCGAGCTGGCGTTTTCAACTCTGTACCAATATCAGAAATAAGCTCAAGGGAACAGCTTTTAACCCTTCACTGTTTTTAAATGGCTGGGTCCATCTGTCCTTCATGGAAGTAGTTTTCAGAGTCACTTCCAAAGTGACCTTCTGTATGCAACTTCAATACCTTACCTATGAGATACACCTCTGACCTGTCCACAAAACTGTAACTTACCTGCTGAATACATCTCAGTATAGATAGTGTAGCTAAATAAGCTGTATCTTCTGGATTTAAATGTCAAGAAAAGTCCTAGTGTGTATGCTCTAAACTGATCACCAGCTATACTAAGATACAGTTTAAACATTTCAACTCAAAACACAGTATTACATTTAATGACAAGTAGCTTTCAATTTTATTTAAGGTTGAAGTGGTTCCTGTGGGTTTTTTAATTCTTAATTTGATTTATGGGGGACATCTATGTCAAGATTACAAATGCAGTCAGCTGCTCAGTCATACTTTCAGGTAATGTTCTATGTGCCCTTCTGCTTTGTACAGATCGATGCCTTTATCCTCTTTCTGTGATTAAAGCTAGCCAAATTTATTAATTCAAAAAATTATTTCTATTTCTAAATTGTCTGCATACAGATTGGGATTTCCATTAATTTCATTCTTAGCTGAAATCGTTCAATGGGTGCTTTGTCCAGGCACACCTCAGATCATAAACTTTTCGTCACTGACCTGCAATGACTGATTCAACCATCTCATGTTCCCAGTACTGAGTCTGGTAGAGCTGTGTGTCTGTGTGTGGGTTAGAACCCCAAACAGAGAAGAAAAGGTTTTGATGAAGGCATGTGCTACAAAGATTCACAACTGCAAAACCTGAAGAAGCTTATCTTGGAGCTTGTGGAAAATAAGCATAACTAAAAAATACATGATCTTCATTTGCCACTGAAGTGTATTCACCTCTTGGCAATAGTTCACAAGAACATGGGCCCTGGCCTGAATTCTGACTTTATAAAATTTTAACCCTAGGGAAGTGTCCTGAAGCATTCAGTTAAACAGTTGAGATGACCTAGATTATAGCTTGAGCTAATAAAAGCTGTTCTTTTAAGAAGTTCAACCCTGTTGTGCTCCAAATCAACTTGTGGAGAGACAGTTAACTGTGAAATAATCCATAGCCTTCCCTTATGTGTCCTAGATTATTTCAGTGTTTGTTTTTAATTTATTTGGCTGCTTTTTGTTTTTGATAAAACTGTTCTAAAATATGTACTCCTAAACAAGGTATTTAATAGAAAATGAAGTGATCAATTGAAAGTCAACTTGTTTTGAAAAATGACGCTATTTTATGTGATGAAATTTTGTGAAATCTTCTGAGAAATAAGTGCTTTACATCATGTTTTTGCAGTGTTTGCCACTCATGCTTGAGACCATTAGCTTACACGAATTCTCATCTATCATTCCTCTAAAGTATTGCAATGGGAAATGATTTTGGCTTCTTAGCTGTTCTGCTGCTCACACAAAATCCAGTGACAAGTCATCAGAATGTCTGTGATGAGACAGTGGTCTCAGCAGCTTTGTGCAGTGGCAGAGATGACAGTGTGAGGTGCTAATACAAGTCAGTGATTAATGGGATGTAAGAACACAGATAGATTAGATTGGATTAGGCATGCATATGTTTAGTTTAAATTTAAACCTTAACCGAAAAAAAAACAAAAAAACCCCTCCCCAAACAAACAAATAAATAAAATCTTGTTGTTTTTTGCCTTGACAAAAACACCAAGCTATTCTAAATTACTCTCTGGCTTTCCAGTGGCAAGGAGCTTTAATTCAAAGAAGTCTCATGCAGCCTGACAAATCATGGTCTCTAAATCTGAACTCTTTCTGTCTATTACCTGTTTTATACCTGTCACAGCAGCAGCAAAGACAGATAAAGGAACCAGCAGCAGGTTCCAGGGTGGACCTAGCCCTGGACATATTGTGTGTTACATTGTTGTAGGCAAAGGTGGGATTTAAAATCAACCAACCCATATAAGCAATCACTTCCAATTCAGTATTAATCAGTTGAGAATATCCTTGCTACAGCAGGAGCAGTAGCTCTGTGTAGTACTATGAAAATCAATGAAAATTCAAGCTGTATCACAGATGTACTCTCTGTGCCTCATTTTTCTGCAGATGAAACTGGGCTGCAAAGTTTGTATTAACCTGTGGCTAGACTTGTAGGAATTCATGGCCCTGTGTTATCATGCACTGGGACATCAAGTGGTCTCCTCCTTACAGACTCCTCCAAAGTTTTTCCTTTCCTATAGGACCACTAAGACAGTCCTTGTATGAGCTATGATTTCCTATTCTCCTGCTAGTCTATGCATCAACTTCAACAAAGTCAGGTCCATGCAAGCACCTGTTTAAGCCAGTTTAAACCACCTCTTCCTTCCTGAAACAAAATGCAGGGTATCTTCCTATAATTTTTGCAGACACTTTAATCTGAAATACTCTGAGGTTTTATTATTAAAAAATCCTGTGTATTTTCTTTTTTTCTGCCAAATCATGCTCTCTCTTTTCTTCTCAGTGCTTGAATACCAGGTGACTTTAAAGGAATTGCTGAGATAAGGAATATGGAAGATTAGTATGTTCTCTCAGATGCAGCTCTTCACATGAGAGAGAGAAGTGTGCTTTAGCCTTTAGATATTTTTTCCCTTACCTACTCCAAGGTCTTGGTAAGTCATGGCCAAGTCAGAGCCCTTCATCCCCAACATGATCTCATTGGACATTGTTTGATCCCAGGAAAATACTGAGGGACCTACTCAGAGAAACCTGGCTCAGTTAGAGATAGAAGCACATCAATAAAGACCTTGGCTGGGTATCTCTACCATGGCTAATACAGAAGAGTTCACAGAAGTGGACTGGGATGATCACTGTTGGTTCAATGTGGAGATGCCATTGGCAGGGTTTTGTGTGAAGCAGAAACCAAGCAAACCCAGCAGGCAGTGCCACGTGTTTGGATTGAGGCACTGATACACTGCCTATGCTTTAGTGAAGATCTCCTCTGAAGTTCTTTTAACACAACTACAAAAAGAAACATAAACATTTGTGAATGCACTGCTGCTGAGACCTGTCTCACAGGCAGTGGTTGCAGGCATTTTCAGAAGACACACAGACCTGTCTGTAGTGCAGCTTGGGCTTGAGTGCATCAGAGAATAGACAAGAAATTAATTTCACTTCTTCCTGTTCCAGCAACTGAATTTTTACCTAGAGCTCTTTGCTGCCCCTGAGAATGCTTTTCCTGAACAGCCATGATGAACATCCTGTAAGCAGTGAGGGACACCCTGGACAGGGACTGCACCAGGGTGCCTTGAGTCAGTGCGGAGGTACCTCAGCCCAGCTGTGGGAGAGCAGAGGACCCAGCTCTTATTGTCACCCCAGTACCACCATGCCCTTTGCCGCCTGGAGGGAAGAGGGCAGTAAAGGGAAGAGAGAGCAAAAGGAGCATTTAGAAGTGAATTAGTTAAAAAGTTTCTCTCCATGTGAACCTGTCAATCTTCTGTAGAGGATTATGCCCACTGGGGTGAGTAAGCCCAGGCGCGCACACACACACACACACAAACACACACACACAGACTTTCACATAGTATCAGTAAGACCTTGTGGTTAATTATAGCTCTGAATCTGACAGAGAAAAATTAGAGGGGAGAGGGACAGCTGCGGGATCCTGGGGTGTAGGGTCTGATTTCCAATGTAATCTGCAGCCCACCAAAGATCTTCACTTTGGAAAAATAAAGTTCAGCCATTTCTAGTCCCTGCCTACTGCTTTTCCATTGCCTCATGCGTGCCGTGAACCTCTGAGCTCCTAGCAGGGTCCCCATAGCAGCAGCCTGGCCCATGCTAAGCAAGGGTGGCTTGTGCCAATGAAAAATATACATACGCTGGGATTGCTCAGATCTCCTTTTCTTTCTGTTCTGCTTTTTTTTCCTCTAGCTTGTTGCAGGGGATGAGTCTGTAAGACTAGTGCTAGTTTCTTTCTTCCTAGGTCTGCCTGCAAATCTCTCCTAAACCTGGAATTAAAATGAGGTGGCAAGTTTTACCTTTTTCCGGTGACATGTCATCTGACTCTTCTGATGTCCAGAGGCAGAGCCTTCAGAAACAATTCTGTTGATTCCACATTTTAAGGATACAGATAGTTCAAAGTCTGGGTATTGCATCTGTCTTCCTTTGAAACATGGGAGACTTCAGGGAGTCTTGCTGCTCATCTTGAACCTGTTTACATGCAATGATCTCATATTACATTAAAAAAAAAAAAAGGCTCCATAAGGTGGTTGCAACATGAGCCGAAAGGGAGAATCCAAAGATTACATAAAACTAGGATCACTGTGTTTAAGGTTTCTACCTCTGGTCTGGGTTACAGTGGTTTGAGAATCATTTTAATGTACACAGACAAATAATAACCCCTCATACTTACTAAAGTACAGTCAGGAGTTGGGACCAGGTCTCCACTACAGGTTCAACACCATTTTTGGATGCAATCATAACTTTTAATGCATCTTGGAAGGCCAAAGAAACTCCAATGGACTGGAAAATGTTACTGATGTGCCAATGCTTGAAGAGTATATGTGGCAGGGAATTATAGGCTGCTTAGCTTGACAAAAACCTGAGGCAAAATCACGTACTAGCTGATTAGAAGATGGAAAATCCTACACAACTTTAATAACTTCTTTAAGTTAGGAATTTCTCATAGCAGTTCCTACTTTAGTATTACCATTGTTTACCAGTATTTTCCAAGGAAAATTAATTTAAAACATCCATACCAGTTTAATGTCTTGCTCTACTTCCAGATGAGTATTAAAAGTGAATCATCTTCAAGATAAGAATAAAGTGCAAACCTCACACAAATGTAGACCCTAGACTCTGCCAGAGTGTATTAGAAGTTAAGCACGATGCAAAATATTGATTTTCTTTTGAAATCTATTTTTGAATTGTATAACTGTAGTCAACCAAATTCTGATTTCTCCATTCATAGACAATATTCATTAAGAATACACTACAACTTCCTAGACTTCTTTTAGGTAACAGATACAGTCAGACATAGGATCAGAGAATCATTCAGGTTGGAAAAGGCCTTTAAGATCATGGAGTCCAACCATAAACCTGGCCCTGCCAAGTCCACCGCTAAACCATGACTGTAAGAGCCATATATACACATCTTTTAAATACTTCCAGGGATGGTGACTCAACCACTGGTAGGCCAAGCAGACAGACATCTTTAAGACTCAGCTTAAGCAGCTGAACACATTATCAGTTCCATTTCCTTCAACCAAACTTTCAACAGAGATCAGCTGGCATAACATTAAACAGAGTAACCTGATGCAATGCAAAACAGGCGGGTTAGTTAAAATTACCTTTACCAGTGACTTGACCCATAACAGTCTGACTTTGTCCTCACAAAAAGATCCAAAGAGTTGGTTTTCAGCTCTCTGGAGTAGACGATAAACAGCAGCATGGGTACAAAGGTAGATCAGATTGCTCAAAGCCTTGTCCAGCTGTGTTTTGAAAATCTCCAAGGCTGGAGATCTTAAAAAAGCCTAAGATGACATTTTTTCCATCACAAATACCCATTCCCTTTTGGAGAGAACATTTCCCCTTTGGAGAGAACATTTCCCCTTTGTTGGGCTCCTAAGAATAAAATCCTCTGTATCCATGTACTGATTTATAGCCTCTTCTGTATTCTGCTGGCTTTGCAAAACAATCCCTTTCCTGTTAACCCATGCATGGAGGCACGTCCCAGGGCGCACAGATACAACAACCTAACATCACCACCTACATGGGCTTTGCAGGTCCCACTTGAAGCATACGTTCACACCAGGTCGAAAGTTTTTCTTACAGCTGATAATAGCGAGGCAAGAAGCCTTATTCCAGTTTTGACTGCATAGCTAGGTGATGGTGGGCGGCACACGTCACCTATCCATACAGCTCCAACTTTAATGCAGTCACCATGATAGCTAGCCAGTTAGGTGGTTTCACCTCTCAGGAATGCTCTTGGATTGCCAGATGGAGGCTCTAGTGAAAGGCAAAACACCATGAACCCGAATCTCTACTAACTTATCCCTTTGTGTCTTTCGAGAGAAAAACTGCTGGAGGTGTAAAGACAGCTTAAGCAGAGCAGGGAATCTGGTGCTGTAGGGCTGCTGTGAGGACCACTGAGCCTCCCACAGGGAGAAAGACTTTCCAGAAAGGCAAGTCTGTGATGTGTCCTGGAGCAAGTCAGGGTTGGGCACGTCTTCATTGCTACACTGCATTGAAACATTGCATTGGAGGCCTGAGCTAGCAGTCAATGCTGAGACTAGGTCCAGGGCGCTGACAGATTCTGTAGCCAAACCTTCTCAAGTACTTGCTGTTTTCTCCATCAGGGCAGAAATTGCTCCCTGTTTAACTGTTTACACCAAAACCTAGAAAGAATGTAGTCTGAGAAATTACTGAGTATTACAGCACTGTAGTTATGCCACAGCTCAGCTGCTCTCATTTCTGCTTGTTGTTGTTCCCTTTCCTTCCCCTCAAACCCTTCATTCTTCTGGTTTACCCACCACCCAGTCATTTTCTCTACTTGGTGTTTTTTTTTCTCCTATGCCTCCTTTTCAGTCTCTTTCTCTTAACCACTTCTCTTCCCCTCCCCCTGCCCTACATTTTCTGGCAGAGTTTTGGACTCTGAGTTCAGTTTTATTCTTCCCTGGAGAAATGACTTAATGCCTTGGCTCTAATGAGCAGTTTGCTAACTGTGAGACCTTGCTGCTTAGTCTGTATGGAGATGTGCATGCCAGTAATTGGGAACCCCATTTTTCTTCTGCTTTGCTTTTCTTCTCCCCCCCCCCTTCTTTTCCTAGTCCCATTTAGCCATATGATGGCTGAAGAGAGCAGAGTCAGACAACTGGGTAAGACCTTTTGTATTAGATCACTGCTGTTCACGTGCTCAAGAGAACAAGCTCAACAGCTCAGGGAGCACGGACTGCAACATGAATGAGACTCATGAGTATATATAAGGTTTCCTCTTTTCCCCTGTGGGGATGTTTTCCCACTTATTTTGCAAGCAGATTAAGCTGACCATGGGTTGATTGTATGTGCACTGCAATGTGGACATTGCTCTGGGTTGCCATCTGTGGGGGCACATGTCAACTGAGCCCTGCTTTCCCAGAGATGCGATTGGCTGAAGACAGCCCGTTCACCAGCAACTTTCCACTGTTCCCAGCTCTGACCAATTCCCCTCTACCTCATAAACACAGGATTTCTCCAAGTTTTAAAGGCCCTTGGGTACCCTAACTTGATCTATTCCATTCAATCACTTCCTGTAAATGGACATTTATGGTAATTTTAGAGGCCACCAGGGCCCATTCTCTATTCAAAGTAAACCTTTGCTCCCAAACGTCTAGACTTTGACCTCCTCTCTCCCCAGCTTTCATGGTCAAACTCTACCGTGCTTCACACTCTAATCTCTATTTGCCTCTGAAGTGCCTGGTCCAGCCCCTCTGATTCTTTCTTGTGGTCTTCGCAGCTGCTGAACACCCTCCTTGTGAGACATGGGAAGACACCAGCAGAGTGGGAGTCAGCAGGACTTCCTTCAGCGAAGTAGTCACAAGGCACCCCACCTGCAAGAGGCCAAGCTTCAGTGCACCGCAACTCCTCATAAAACAGAGGCTGAGAATACAGACGGAATTGTGGCTGCAGCTGATAGAAGGTGGCAGACTTTAAAAGTCATTTTAGTGCCCAAAAAATCTCAAGAACACAAAGTTTCCTGATGAGAGTCACTGGGTGTTTCTATTTCTAAAGCTTAACAAACCACAGAATTAGCCACACCCCAGAGGTGTCCACATTTCTCTTGGATGGCTCTTTCAAAGTCACCTAGTGGCTGCTATCCTGTAATGAAGAGCTTCCTCCTGACTATGTTCTTGGGATTCACCAGGGCCTAACTCTTGGTGAAATTGCATGTGCAATACCCATGTAGTTGGCCACTGTGGCAGTGTCAGTATCAGCAGCTATCCACAAAATCTAGGTAGCCTTTGTGCGTTGCTGTGTGTCATGGTTGCATCCAAGTCCCTGATTCATTGTCTAGTCCAAGAACCACATGCAAGACCTTTATTCTTGATGCATTCCCAAGAACTGTACATGATAGCAATTAGTATCTTTTTAGTGCACAGCCTGGACTCCCTGTCTTAAAAGCACAGTTTTTCCTTGTGTCATTCAATACCACATCCTGTCTTCCAAGCCATAAGTTGATAACAAAACCTAAAGCTCACCATTAACAGAATGTATAATTAAAAACTTTATAATTGACCTGTTAGCTAAGCTGATTAACAGTGGTCAGTTAGAGCTACAAAGTCTCTTGCACTCATACTTGATTCTCCAAATTTAACCTAGAGGCCAGTGATGTTGATCTCAGGAGGCAGTCAACCCTTTTCTTCTAGTGATTCCACATCTGAGAGCTACTGTGCCTCAGACTGCAGCTGCTGCTGTTGCCTGGTGCTCAATATCTCACTCTCTCTGAGAACTGGATAAGGTAACTATGGTCCTCCCACAGACACGGCCTGTCACAGGTGATGACCTCATATCATCATGGATTATTGCATAATTTTCAAGAAGTGGAGGCAATTTCCGACACCATGAATCCCATCTTTCTTCCCTCCCCCCTTTGATTTTTTTCCCACTTTGGCAGTTCTTTAGTATCTCTGATATCAGCTTCTAATTGTTTGGGCCATCCTTGACATTAGTTTTCTGCTCAGCAAAACCTCAGAGGGTGACAAGCCATGCTGACGATCTACAATTTAACAGAGCTAAATATGGATCAGAGTCTGACTAAGCATTCTTCTTCAGATATTTTTACCCCATTTCCCACCCATCTGTTATATTTGGAATAATAGTAATTAGCAGTTCATGTCCAAACTCCAAATTCACTTGCAAATGCTTGAACTCATGACCACAGTTCGGCATCAATTTTTCAGACCTCACTGCATCAGTAATGCCACGTAAAAGAAAATTAGATTTGACAGCTGTTAAAATTGCAATAGCATACACTAAGCATATCTTATATTGGATAGGAGTGCAGAACAAGTACATAGTGTTTTTGCAGATAGCACAAATAAACATGTGCTTACTTTTCCCAGTGGAACAATTATTTTTTTACCAGGGGAAATGTTTCCCTGCTCTTTTAAACTTTTTAACAGCATGGATT